AGCCAAATCTGAAGCAAAGCGTTGTATCATTTCCTTTGTAGGTGGCAAACGTCGTTCGGTAAGCGTATCGATGTATCGTACAAGCTCCTTCTCGTGTTGTGGATGGAGGGAGAGGTTGCGCACGCCATAGGCCTCAGTTTCGCCGCGGTGTCGTCTCATCAACGTCATTCGTGCTACACCATGCTTTTTCGCGATTGCTTGATACAAGAATTTATCTCCTAGTTCTCGCGATTCGATTTCTGCAATCGCTTCTCGAATCGGGTCCATATTGGTTGAGTTTTGACGCGTTGAAGTTTTGTTGTTGTGGTGGTGGGGGTGCTCAACTGGCGATGGTGCTCATCTGGTGCACGGGCACTGTAGTTCGAGCGAGGCGCCACCTTCAGCCTCGTCGAGGTTCGCTGCACGAGGAAGAAAAACAAGCCATAGTGCGGCACTGTGTCCGAGCTAAGGCATCGTGCCGTGCACCTACTCCAACACTCCAACCGCAGTGTCGGCAAATTTTCATGGCGGCCAGGTGAGTGGTAGGTCCAACGTGCCTTGGTGCAGCCAGTAGTCCGCGTGATCCCTCCGAGAGTGCTCCCGACGCCCATCGGATGGCGCGCGAGGGGAGCCAATCACGTGCGGCCGAGCGCGCCGCTATGACGAAAACACTGCTACCACTACCACTACTACACCCATCACACCTCCACCTCGGAGCGCCTCCACTTTTCTCTTGAGCCTCACAAGTCAGAAGCGCCGCATCTCCCCCATACGGGGCTCCTCGACACCCGCAGCCAGTAGCCCCTTCGCCCTCCTCCGCGTTGCGCTCCCCGTGGAGAAAACATGCAGGCCTAGCGGCGAAAATTGGGACAGCCCCAGCGCCCCAATCTTTCCCCATGGAGGCCTAGCCAGCTGCCTCGCTCAACACTTGGCGGGCGCATCAATCTGCACCCCGCTGTTGATCTGTCGGTCGTCGGTCGTCTTCACGTCGCGCAAAGGGTGGGATACATGGTGGAGTTGTGGGGAAAAGCCAGGAAAACAACACGCGTGGATATAGTGCGGATACAAGATTCTCTGGCACGCAAAGCAACGGGCGCCCAAAGCTTGGAACCAAACGACATGTTGGTGTGTGTGTGTGTGGAGGAGCGCTCTGTGCGCTTGCGGGCGGAGCTTCGACTGGGAAAACCTAGGTACGAGACATGTCATGTCTAGCGTTGGGGGGCCGTCGTGTAGCCCAGCCAGCGGGTGGGTAGTGGTAAGGGTAATAGTCTCTGGGCTGTCCTTGGCATCTTAGGGGCCAAGTCGCAACAGGGTTGGGGGGAGGGAAGAAAAGAAACAAACACGCTGGGCCGGACGTGGCGACATATCGTGGCGGAATCGTTGCAGGGTTGCCGAAGCTTGGTATGAGGTGATGATGCGGCCAAATGCATCTGGTGGCGACATGGCAGCGTCGTGGTATAGGTGTGGGTGTAGGTTTGTTAGGAAGATCCGATAGCATGCGCGAATTTCAGAAACACCATATCTCACGCCATGGTTGGGAGGAGAGCAGAGCAGCCCGTACTTAGGCCAAGAGCGAACATGTTGTGTCGAATAGCAACCAGCTGTGACTTGCTTATGCTCGACTCAAGGGCATCCATGATACTGCATTAGGTGTAGACAAGTGGAAGCACGGCTTCGCTTATTCACAGCGCGAAGAGCCGGCGAGAATTGCTGCATTCTGCACGCCTGGTCTTGGCTCTCTGCTGCGATGACGACGAACGAACTGCTCCATGTCAGCATCTACATCTATGTACGTAGCGGTAGCTGTGTGCAGACAGGCCGTTCGAAGACATCTTGTTGCGGAAGTGTTGGAGAGCCGGTAAGTAAGCGCCTTTACTATGGGTTTTTTTTCTTCTTCTTGCTGCAAAGCCCAACATTATGTAGTGCATGTATGTATGTATGTATGTATGTATGTATGTATGTATGTATGTATGTATGTATGTATGTATGTATGTATGTATGGATCCATGCACTGCGCTGTCCCTATTCAAGTCAGAATACAGACTATGGAGTGCAGGAACTTGGGCATATGCAGCAAGCAACTCAACTCGGAATGCAGCCAACTCACCCGGTCTCCGCATCCCGCATTCCCCCCCTCTGCTCTCCCCCAGCCCGTCGGCCGCGTCAAAGTGCCGAAAATGATGGCAGGCTAGGCCCGGCAACGCCAAGGCCAAGAATACGCCGCCCGCCGCTGCAGTCACCACCAGGTCGGCTACAAGCGGCGAGATATTCCCCATGCCGGCCCAGATGATGCTAGTCTGCGCAATACACATGTGTGCAGCATTAGTGCGCGGAATACCTGCACCCCTTCGAGTAAGCTACCCTGCTGTCTTCTCCCTCTCTCTCTCCCTCTTATTATACATGTACGCTCTAGGGCCATGCAGTGCCGAGAAAGAGGGCTCGTGCTTACATGGGAAGAAGGCCCAACGAGGGCCCCCGCGGGGAGGAGAAGGAGGAGGAGGGAGGGGGAGAGCGCGGGGGGGCGTTGCGAATGCCCAGACTTGTGGGGTGGATGTTGGGTTCCGAGAAACTTGCCGGTTACTCACTTGCTGTTTGGCGCCGTGGTGTGTCTTTCTTTTTTCCTTTTACAGTTTCCACATGTATGTATGGGAAGCGGGGGGTGGGAATGGGTGGATGTATGTAAGGGTAGGGCAGGGGAGGGGCGGGGCGGATTGGGGTGGAGTTGAGTAGATGTCGATGTTATGTTGGGTGGTGAGGCGATTTGCTGGCACGGGAGGGTCGAGCATGTGCGTATGTGAAGCTAGAAGCAGGCTAGAAGGGTGTTTGGAATGCTGCTGCTGCTGCTGCTGCTGCAGAGAAGGCGGATCGAAGGCCATGGCGATGCAGAGGCGGCTGAATCCGCACTTGATCAAGCAATCTACACTTCTCAACATAGCAGATACCATTCCCTATACAAAAGGCCGTCTCTGGGTATTAGGTCAACACGAGAAAATGCCTCAAAAACTCCAGGCCAGTACTGTAAAAAAACAAGGTATCCTCGACAATCAAGAAAGAAAGAGTATTAACAACATGGCTCGCCAAAAGTCTCTCCATCACTATGGAAGACACCAAAAAAATATCTCCAACCTTCTTTTCCAACCCAGGCCACCGGAACAAAAATGTGGTTCCTGTCGAGACAACAGCAAAGCCCACCAACCCCAGACGTAAATGCGAGCTATTTCAGGCCTACTCCTTCTGGCCTTCGTTAAGCACCAGCTCAACTACCACCTGACACCTTTCATGGTACGGATGCTGCAAGCTCAGCTTGATCGTCCTGTTGTGCGCTGATCCTCCGCTCAGCCCATCATCCAGACACTTGACGTCGCGTCCCGCAATCACCTGCCGCAGTCTCCCGTTCTGCGCATTGCGAATCTCCACAAAGTCGGGGTCGAAGAGCAGCACGTACGGCCCATACATGGCAGCGCTCTTAGCCTTGCCCACAAACTCCATAATCACCGACCGCGAAATGTCACCGTTCTTGTTAATGTATACCGCACACTCCTCGTAGCACAGGAGGAATTCTTGGTCCGACAGCCGGAACATGCCCAGAGGGTCTTGGTTTTGCAGTCGCGAAGCAATCGTCGCCACGTGCGGCTGCTTCAGGTCCGGCACCGACCATGGCTGCTTCTTGTCCAGAGTGAGTACCTCGAAGCCCTTGGATGTCGAAATGGCAAGCGACGAGTGGAAGAGGTTAATGGTAAAGCACTCGGCCGGGATGTAAAACTCGTCGTACTCGCGGAAGAACTCGGTACGTCCCGATTTCCATATCCTTGACTTCTTCTCCGTCGATTTCTGGTACACGGGCTCAAGAACCTTGAACGTTGATGAAATGCCGTCACGCTTCTTGTAAAACACAAGCGTCCTGTCCTTCATGACCCCAGTGGCAAAGAAGCCAATGTCGCGTGCGCCCGACAGCTTCTGAGGGGCACGTCGCGTCGAGTCGTTTGACAAAGGCATACCGTTGACTGGACAGACAGCATCCAGGTGATACGCAATCAATGCCTTGTCCGAGATGAGAAGCATCAAGCTAAACTGCTCGAGAACGGCAATTTGCGTTACCCGCGGTACTTGGATGGCCTGACTTGTTAGCATTGCACCTCCAACAAAGTGGCATTGCTTACCTTTGTCCAGCCTCTAGGATTCTCAAAGTCCGACACATAGACACCAATATCTGTACCGACTGCCACCATCTGCTTGCCATAAGGTTGGCTAAACGCCGTCGCACAATTGACGCGCGCTCGACAAATCGGCACTGGGCGACCAACATTGACAAAAAGCTTCTCCACCTCGTCAACGGCCCGGTCCAGAGGTGTTCCCTTGATAGTAATGGCCTTTTGAGATGGCATGGCGCTATCGTATGCAAACGCCGCGTCGGCCATGACGCGCAGTCTAAAAGGCTCGGCATTCTGGGCGAAAAGGGCAGCGGCATGTCGTGTTTTCGCAATGATGAGCTTGTCGCACCATTCGGCTCGGGTTTGTGCACTTGGCGCATACAGTGTATACGTCTCTTTGCCCAGATGCTTGACTCGGAACGGATACAAAATCTTCTCGTCCTTGCTGGCGTCATTCGACGTAGTGTTGACAAGAGTCTTGCCTGAACCGCTCGTGGTTGACGATCCATGGGAAGTAGCGGTATTGACGTGTTGTAGACCCCCGGGAGCAGGACTGCTGTTCAGGCGCGTGCCAGTTCCAGCAACTCGACCGGAAACTGTCGTGACAGTAGATATACCCTTCATCGTTGAGCGTATGACGGGATCGTCGTCTTCGCTTTCCAGGACGAGCAGGTCCATGGGAATGGGTAGCCGAGAGACATCGTACTTCTCAGACTTGGTAACACCATCTGCCTCCCTGTACGAAACTGTCTTGGCAAGCACGAGGTAGTGATCAAACAGTAGTGCATGGGTTTCCAGCCAGTTGAAGCGGTTGGCACCCATTCTTTGCAAATCGCCCCGGAAAATCAGCTCTCGCCCCAGATGATCTAGATTGAGCTCGACCCGCTGCATCCCTGGTCGCAAGATGAGCCTGGCTTGCAGATCGGTGAGGCTGACTTTGCGGCTCATCTCAGCAACACGGCTATCGCATTCCAACGTCACAGCCTTGATCTCGTCCTTTGCAATCTGCAGGTTTTTCTTTTCCTCATTGTCGACAATCGAGTACTTCAGCACCGTGTCCAAGAGCAGACCATAACGCTGCAGCCTGTCGATGGGGCCCTTGAGATACGTGTCCCAACCAAGCTTGTTGGATAGTTTGTTCTTCTGGGCGTCGTCTAAGAAAGAACGGAATACCAAGTTCCTTTCGGCCTCCTGTCGAACCAAGAAGGATGCGTATGGGAAGGCTGCCGCGTACTCAATGTAGGCTTGCTTGGCCTTTCGGATCCATTCCCTGAAAATGTCGCTGAAACCCACAATCCATGGTCCTTGCTCTTGTTGTCTGTATTTGATTTGTGGGAGTAAATGGTCCTCGTTTGCCTTGCGCACTGCATCCACCTTGCTGAAAACGTCGCGGATAAATCGGTCGAGTTTCTTTGGAGGTATGACGGGAGGCTGAGCTGCCTTGAGTCGGTCACGGTACAGATGGCGCAACACATCCAGTCGATTCATGTAGTTGTCCTCTCCCTGCACGATTTCGTGAAGAATGTTCTGCCGCTCAATTTCCTTCTTGTTGGCGCCTTCAATGTCCTCCTTCTTCAGCTTGTAAAACGTAGCCCAATCTTCCGAGCGAGGTGCGGCAGACGGGGCGTGGAGGTCAATCTTCTTGAGCGTCCGTTGGCAGTGGTGCGAGTAGCATCGGCCAGGGCTAGCATGAGTGTGCAGCATGGGCGCATAACAGCCCGCCCCTGTCAGCTGGAAAATTACTCCCGTCATGCTTTCCGAAGAAAACTTGAGCCATTCTTCTTCGTGCACAAGAGTTCCAGCTTTGTACATTTCCGACACCACCCGACTGCTCAGTGTCTCTGCATCGGCGATATTCATGGTTGGAACCTTGTGAGTGAACAGTGCAACGAGGCCCTCCTGGATTGGCCCTTCCTTCAAGTCATTCTCGCCTTCAGTCATGCTCTTTAGCCAAGCGATGATTGAGCTGAGCGCCCATGGCTCAGTGCACTTCTTAAAGTCAATGCTAGACAACTTGGCGGGGTTGAAGCGCTTGCCAGCAGGAATTGTTGGCAAGTCAATGGCTACAGCTTCAGCACTACCGGGCGTTAAAGTGTTACCATCGCTGTCGACGGCATTGCCATAATAGGTGTTGCGATTGCCAGCGCCACGAGGCCGGTGCCCCTGCTCAGCATCCGTCTTGGACCTCGGCAAGGGTATGGCGTCTCGCGCATTGCTTTGATGCAGTAGAGACGTTGAGCGAGGGACATGTGTGCCGGCTGGTGATACCATGTGTACAGCATTGGGGTCAGAAGGGTATGAGCCACGCGAGGACGGAGCGTTGCGCCAATACTCGTAATTGGCAGATCCAGTGGAGCTGTTGCTCTGGTGATTGAGTCGTCGGTTTGTGTTCACCGGAGGGGGTGGCAGAGGTCGGTTCGAGATGCCAGGATGATAGAACATGTCTGGTGGCTCACCAGGCATCACGGCTGTAGGACCCAAGGTCGAACCAGACATGGCGGACGCGCTATCCATAAGAGTGACTTCGTCGCCTTCATCGTAGCTCCGCCGCCGTGCGCTAGGCTCTTGAAGCCCACCCGTACCAAATGTATCGACGCGTGCGCTGCTCGAAAAAGACGGGAAGGGATGAATTGGGTCGTAGTCTTCGCTAGCGGCTTCTGATCGCCGCTGTGAACCACCTCCCGCTGCAAGTTGGCTTGGATCTCCGCCATAGTTGAAGGATGGCATGAAGCCGCCGCCATACGTGCCAACATCCATGCCTACATAGTCGCTGTCGCTTGCGCTTGCTTCGTGCGTGGGCTCTGCTGGCATCTGGGGTGAGTGTACTGATGTGTAGTTGCTGAACAGCCCAGTGCCGCCGCTTGCTCTTCGGGCTTCGTCTGCCCTCTCTTGCTCCTCAGCCATCTGGAGTGCTGCTAGACCAGCAGCAGCCTCGACATCGCTCTCATCGCTCGCGTAGGTATTCCGTGCAGGGTACGCGCCTTGGTCTCCATTCATGCCATTCCGTCCCGACTGTTGTTCGCCATGGTAATACTGGCCATTGGGCTCCTGGCCATGGCCTGCGCTTCCTCCTGTCATGCTCAAGACGTCATTGAAGAGCTCGTCTTGGTATCCGTTCTGTGGCGAAAAGTACTCGTCGCTGTCAGACTCGTGAGGTGGAGGTGGAGGCAGGGGCCGTGAAGACGTCGTATTGGTTCGCTGTGGTGAGCCATGGGTCGGGACCTCAGGGGTCGGGGGAAGGGCGTTTGACTGGTGAGTGGCATATCGGTCGCCGCGTTGTGAGCCATAGCCGGTGTCGTAGACTGGCGGTGACGGGAGCGGGGCGTGCGAAGCGCTCGACGAGTAGTAGCCCGAGGATGCGGTTGAGGAATGCTGAGTAGGATAGCTGCCCCATTCCTCACTGGGAAGTTGGGCACTTCCAGGAGGCGCAGGCAGTGGCGCAGGCGCGCCAGCCGGGTAAGCTGACGTAGTTCTCTGAACAGAGGTGGTTCTCCCGAATTGCGAGTTCTGGTACGCAGACGGCGAAGGGTACGGGAGGGTGGGCGAGGTCGGGGAGAGGGCGTAGGGCTGGCTGACGGTGTTTGTCCGGGAAATATTGCTGCTCGCATAGGCGGCTGGGTTGTAGGGCTGGTGCGAGGCAGCAGTCGAGACCGAGGGCCCATAGGGCCTGTTGACGCCGCCGTAATGCTGGGGGTTGGGCAGAGCAATGGGCTGGGTGTAGTTCTGGGGATTGTACTCGAGCTGCTGGCGCTGAGGCGGGTAGCCGTAGCCGGCGCCGTATGCGCTGGCGGTTGGCGACATTGGGCCCTGGCTCAGGTGCGGGGAGCTGGCGGCGACCATGAACAGCTCGTCGTTCTGGCGCGCAGCAATGCTGTTGCGGCGCTCTGGCTGGTTGTAGGCATAGCCGTAGTCTGAGGCGGCGGCTCCGTTTGAGGAGGCATCGCCATGGTCGGTGCTTGGCGCAGAGCGGGCGTAGGGATCGTGGTGTGCAGCCTGGCCGCCGAGGTTGGAGTGGGGGATGTTTGGGTTGTAGTAATTCTGGCCGTTTCCGTAGTACGACATGGCGGCGGCGGCGGGCAGCGGGCGCGAGGGTGCGCGAGGGTGCGCGAGGTGCGGAGGGAGTCGGGGCGGGCGAAAGCGTCCTTCACGAGGCTACTTGGCTTGGGCGGGCGGGCACCATGACCGGGGCCGCTGAGGTGGGCGTGGAGGGGCGGTTCAGCAGCCTGGCCGCGCAGCAGTGTCGACGGGGCGGGAGAAGCAGCGGGCGCGACGAATTGTGTGCGCTCGCATGCGCTGGGCGCAGGAATCCGGGGCAATGTTTTGGCAGTGAGGGGACAGAGGCAGCGCTGCTGGTGGCCCTGTGCGTCCGTGGCAGCTGTCCCAAACGTCGTTTGCGTGGTGGGAGCGCAGGGAACGGGCCGCCCAGCGACTCGGCGGCGGGACTGCAATAAGTGCGCGTGGTGAGGAGGGGGTGGCGGCGGTCGTGGTGGTGGTCGTGGTTGTGGTGGCGAGGCAGATGGAGAAAAGGAAGAATATGGCACGGCGCATGCGACGGGGAGGGATGCCAAAGCCGTCCGCGCTGCAGCGTCTGTGGGCGGCGCTGATGTTTTCCGCCGCGTACTTACTTGGGCGAGGCGGCGGCCAGGAGGTACGAGATGATAGGCCGTGGCTGGCCAAGAACATGGCATGGGCTCACACGCTGCCTGCGGTGCCTGACCCGGCCAACCACCATGCTCTGCTCTGCTCTCGTCTTGTCACGTCTTGTCCGCCCCCCAGCGGCAGTGGCGCCGCCGCCACGAATGAGCCTCGCCGTCCCTCACCACGCGCGCCCGACTCGCCCTTCAGCTGAGCTGCCCAGCTGCATTTCTGACCTTACTGACCTGCTCGACGCCGCCCTTGCAGCTCGCGCCTACACGTGTCACTGGCCGCCATCGCCGCCACCATGACGGTTCCCACGACTGCCTACTCCGCGCATGACAGGCCTTCTCGGAACATGTGTTTGCCAGCCCTATCACGCCTGTCGCCGTGTGTCAAGCTGGCACGTCTGCGGCACGCACTCGCCGCCTAGGACCTACCCCGCATGTTGGCTATCCCGGGTCCCTTCGACGCCTCTAGCTGCCATTTTCCACTTCTGGCAACGCTTCTCCTACAAGGCAAATGGCACAGGCCCCGTTCGTCACGTGACTCTGCTTTTCGCATCTCGCGCTCTTCTGATTCCCATGTGGCTTCTTCGCAGCATCAACAGGGGCTGCAATCTAGTCTGCTAAATTCGCTGCACTCTGGTTGTGGGAATGCCGCTGACAATATTGTCAGTCAAAACAATGCATCCCCACGGGTGCAGCCGCATCGCCTGGAATCTCTTGAGCAAACCCCAAAAAGACATGATAACCATGACGTGGAAAGATCGCCGTTGGGGGACTGCTACCCCGGCTGTGCGTGCGACGTTCCCCGTGTCACCATGACTCCCCGTCGAAGATCAAGTTCGGGGCTGCGCGGCTGCTTGTACTTGCCCAAGATACGGGAACACCTGAAGTCTGCTGAGCGTGAAAGTTGTTTCATGGCAAGTTACATCAGCTTCGGATACTGCATTCAACGAGCGGGTAAGATGATTCCGTACGGCTTTTGTGATATCGGGTTCCAGTAACGCCTGTCGTGTTTGATGATGGCACCAACTTGTTCATACGGTTGGCTATGCCCTAGTCCGCGGGAATGGCTCACAGCCATTCTGCCATGGGTGTGTTTTGACGGTAATCTCATGCACTCTGCCAACTCCGACAAAAGCTGGAACCTCTCGGGCACATGGCTGCAGTTCTGGGAGCTCTGCAGTACAAGTATACATTGCCCAGCCCCCCAGATAAGGTCAAGCATTTATATAACTCATCCACTCACCTACTTGGCCGCTTTATCGCATCCGCTTAAGCTTTGGCAAAGGAGAATGCCGCCGCAATCACTTCAACCAGCAAGCTGACAGTCGGTAGTCGGCCGTCGAATGCTTCCAGAAAACTAGAATCCAGAGTATCACCGTCCAACCTCAGCACTAGCATGTGTTTCGGTTCCCTGTCCTCGGCCGCGCAACCATGATCCCGAGGCTGTGGGTTCTACGCCATGGGCCAGATCTAACAGGCAGAAGAAGTAACACGTCGGGACGTGTATGTAAGCATCGGTATGGCCAACAGACTCGGACACACGCTGAATGCCCCGCTTCCCCACGGCGCCAGCCGCGGAGTTCCTGGGGTTTGGAAAAATGCTGTCTGGTCCAACTTCGGCGTAAACATAGTTAAGCTCCAAACCTCTTTTCTACATGCGGTCTATACGATGCTCTGGGCCACAACGCGTTCATAGCCTTGATTGACCACTAGATACAGTGCATACTCGATGCCATTACGAAATGCCAAGGCGAAGCCCCCAGATCACTTAGTTAAGGCCAAACCTTGGATAATATGGACATTTCATTCTGCCACGTAGAGCACGGTTCATTTCGATAAGACCAATATCCAGGGACCTATGTCTTGAGGATGACGACCCAGCTTCGTCAAGATGGGGAACCCATTGCTGAGTTTACGATGGAAACCCGTCTCAGATCCTTGGCATTCCGAGGTACAGGAGTCCCAGGCACAAGGTGCAGCTAGAGCAAGACGAGCGGTGCCATAACTGTGCGTGGGTAGCCATGCCCGCCAAAAAAGTACAAGGCCGGTGGTAAGCCGCGAGGGAATGGCCATCTGCTTGTCCCATTCCGCGTTTTCCCTTTGACGCAATTTTTCTTAGTGCCCGTTACGGCGCAAGCCGGGGACCCAGAACGTTCCAAAAACGCCCTCCGCAGTTGGCTAAGAAGATAACAGCCCTCGAACGGACCACGCACTTGCAGGGCAAAAAAGCCACCCGTCTGCAAGAAAAAAGATAAAAAAAAAGAGATACTCGGCGCTCACGATTGCTATTTGTAGCAGAGGCGGTGGTACCTGTCTGAACAGTAGTGAGGCTGGCAGTCTTGTCATCCCATACATGTACGTAGCAGCGGCGCGGACGAGGATGCAATTGCCCACAAGACAGCAGGTGTGAGCCCGGCGTATAGTGTGTAGGTGGAGGAAACTCACCAGCTTACGGCACAGGCGCTAACTGCGTCCAGGAACTGTGGCCGCTGCCATGCAGACAAGGTTCTCGTTGTCGCGCAGGCCGTGTGGCGGGTGGTAACGCGGGGCAAACACCACGGCGGCGGCCCTTGACAGAAGGCTAGCAGCACAAACAGCCTGCCGCCCAGACTTCGGCGCCCCAGTACGGCCTATCTGCGTGCGTCGACGATGGGGCGCCAAGGGCTTCTTTTGTTCCATGCGCCAGCACACAGTCGGTCCGCGCAGGTGGAGGAGGACAGAGGGCTGAAGGCCCTGGCTTGGCCGTGTGCCGGTCACGCAAAGGCAGACGACAAATTCACTCAAGACGCCAGTGGACGAATGGAAGCTCGGCGCAAAACTTGGCTCACGGTGCCATGGCCACCGCCAAGGCTTGCGCGACACCCTTGTCCCACCACCCCAACTGCATTGAGAAGGAGATATACGCAACCACCACTTGGGGAGCGCCCTGTCTCGCTCGTCCGCGCCGTGGCCGTCCAATGTTTGCGCCTGTCGCCCATTGCGCACTCGACCCCATGCGCGCCCACGGCCAGCTGCTCTGCTTGGCCCGCCGTGGCCTTTCTCCACCACCGTAATTTGTCTTGGCGATAGCTTGTTATCAACGGACCCGTGGGTCCATTAGCCTGCCCTCCCCGCCGCCTCGGTCTTATCATCGTCGGGTAATCTTTATCTCGTCGCATGCTCGACACTTTTACACTGCCCCCCCCCCCCCCGGTCGCCTGTCCATCTTAAGAGACCGGTCCGCGGTGCCGTTTCTTCGCTCGACTTGTTTCTGGCCCTTCACTCCTTCACACCTGCCTTCCACCATCCTCGCTGTGGTCCTCCGCCATTCGTTGCGTGATAGAGTTGTTCTGTTGTCCACGTCGCATTTCGCGTGCCCACCATGGCTATCATGAACCGGAAAACCGGTTCGTCCGATGGCGCCAGCCCTCACGGTTCGCTGGATCCAGAGTATGGCGTCAAGTCCGAGTACGACCACACCACTGGCGAGGTGCGTCTCGACGAAAACGGTGCTCCTGTCCAGGGTGAGAGCGGCCATCTGCACCGTGGCCTCAAGTCGAGGCACATTACTATGATTGCCATTGGCGGTGCCATTGGAACTGGTCTCATCATTGGTACGGGCAAGGCCTTGGCCCAGTCCGGGTAGGTTGCTTCCATTCCCCGCTTCGAGCTACAGCTGACAATAGCAGTCCGGCCTCGATTCTCATTGCTTACACTCTGGTTGGTCTCATCGTCTACGTTGTCATGACCTCTCTTGGCGAGATGGCAGCCTGGATCCCTCACGCCTCTGGTTTCGCTGGCTATGCCACCCGTTTCTGTGACCCTGCTCTTGGTTTTGCTCTTGGGTACGTCATTGCCTAGTCCCCCCTCACAAGCCCGTTGCTAACAGTACGCAGTTGGTGCTATTTTGCCAAATATGTCATCACCACTCCGAACCAGCTCACTGCCTCTGCTCTCATCATCCAAGAGTGGAAATCGCGCGAAGAAGTCAATCCAGGTGTTTGGATTGCCGTCTTCTTGATTACCATCACCGCCATCAACTACTTTGGAATCAAATTCTTTGGTGAGCTCGAGTTTTGGCTCAGTGCAATCAAGGTTATTACCATCGTAAGTAGCTGTCCTTCGAATCCTTGAAGGGGCCGTACTAAGCATCACACAGGTTGGCATAATCCTCCTCTCGTTTTTGCTCGCAGTTGGTGCCGGTCCCGGTGGTGCAACTGGCTTCAAGTACTATAAAAATCCCGGCGCTTTCAAACCTTATCTGGCCAGTGGCGCCGAAGGAAAGTTCTACGGCTTTTGGAGCTCTCTGGTTAATGCCGTCTTTGCTTACCTGGGTACGGAGCTTATCGGTGTTACCGTCGGAGAAGCACAAAACCCCCGAAAGACCATCCCGCGCGCCATCAAACTCACCTTTTACCGGATTCTCTTCTTCTACTGTCTTTCCATCTTCTTCCTTGGAATGATTGTACCCTACAACTCCCCGGACCTGTCATTCGCCAACAAGGCCACCACGGGTGCCTCGGCCTCGCCTTTCGTTGTCGCCATCAAGCTCGCCAAAATTCCATACCTCCCCACCATTGTCAACGCCTGCATCTTGCTCTTCACCTTTAGCGCATCCAACTCGGATCTATACATTGCCTCGCGTACCATCTATGGACTTGCTGTCGAAGGCCATGCCCCCAAGATCTTCCTCTGGACCGACAAGCGAGGTGTGCCCGTCCCGGCTCTGGGTATCTCCGCGCTCCTGTCGTGCATCGCCTTCATGAACGTTTCAGACGACTCCAAGACCGTCTTTGGCTACTTTGTCAACCTGACGACAATCTTTGGACTTTTGTCTTGGATCTCGCTGTTGGTGTCGCATATCTGGTTCGTCCGTGCACGTAACGCTCAGGGCATTACCAAGGACATGATGGCTTACACTGCACCATTTGGCTTGACTGGATCCTACATTGCTCTCTTCTTCTGCATCTTGATCGCTTTGACCAAGAACTTCCCCGTCTTCACCAAGGGCTCGTACGGCAACTTTGATTACAAGAACTTTATTACTGGATACCTCGTAAGTCACGCCGATTGCTACAGAAACCCCATTAGCTAACCTGGTCCTGTAGGGTATTCCGATCTACCTGTGCTGCATCTTTGGCTACAAATTCTTCATGAAGACCAAGATGGTGCGACCCCACGAAGCCGACTTCTACACTGGAAAGGGTGAGATTGATCGCGAGGAAGAGGAGTTCTTGGCACAAGAGGCGGCCAAGGCGGCAGCTGGCGGCGGTTCCAGGGGCGGCAGCTGGTTCTACCGAACCTTTATCGCCTGGTTGATTTAGACGCCTATGGGCTTGATGTTTTTATGTTGGCACATGGTATGCCAGTGCCCCCCATGTCAGTTATGTCTGGAATGGCTCGACCACGCGTCATGATAATTAAGAGTTATGCATACATGTCTTTATACCTAGATCCATCCGTTCTACCAAATTAATTCCACGGATATGTGAGACTGACTGGAAATCTTCTGTGCACGCTGTCGTGACCATTACACTAAACACCCCTTAATCAACTAGTACCAACGTCGTTCGCACTAGTATCCCCACCTCCACAACGCAGAGACCACGACAAGAAAAAAATCCACACAAATATGTGGATTACATCAGTCACGCACGTTACAAAGCCCAAAAAGCAGCGCCAAGATCGTATCGTAGAAGTGTATGCACCATGTCGCGCTAAAAACTAGCTTACACAACCCTCGTCATCACCACCATCACCACCACCACCACCATCACTCGCCCCTCCTCACAGCAGCAACAGCAACAGCAACAGCCGTCGTCGCAATAAGCTCAGAAATAAACTCAAGCGCCCAGCCCTCAGGCCCAGACATCTTGATTTTCTTTTTCCCATTCCTTCTCGCGGCACGAGGCGCGAAGCTTCTCGGTAAACACGGCTGCTTCCCTTGCTCCCCAAGAAATGTGCCCTTGTGGTTACACACACGCCCATGTGTGTGTGTGTGTGTGGTTTCCCTTGCAGCAAGGATGCCGTGTTTGCCGGGTTGGCGCACGCTGCACGCACACACACACACGTGTGGCGGGGTAGGGGTAGGGGGCGGCCGCTCCATTCGGGTAGCACGGCACTGCCACTGCGGCTGGTGGGCTGGGGCTGTGATAAGGAAGTGGAAGCGTGGACACGTGTGCGGAGAATTTGCGTACGTAGCGCTTAATTTGGGGAAAGAAGGGGTTCGGGTGGTGGTGTGGATGTAGTGGTGTAGGTACTAGTTGCTGTTGATGCGAGTGGGGCATCTTCTACAGAAGACGTAAGTACACTACTTAGGGCGTTTGCGAAGGCGGGAAACTTGATGAATGTGTACACAGAGATAAGTTGGAGATGGATACAACTATCAGGGGGCTGATCCTAGTTTTCTTTGTCCGTCGAGCTTTCAACTTCATTTTACGTTCGCCTCAGTCAGGTACAAGGGGTTGGGTGTAAGTAGAAGCTGGCCTTCGTGTAACACGTATAGGCGGGGGCAGCGCTGATTTGATAGCCGTTCAGCAATGTCCACTACTGTATCCAGAAGTAGTGTCTAAACAAGATTGTCACTCAACGCCTCCTAGTTCCAGAAATACTTGGATGCGAGTACCCACGTCTGCGTCTACTATCTAACACGCCGAGTGTGTGCCCATTTTGTCTCAAGCAATGCAGTGGAGATAGACATACCATTGCTCTATTGATTCAAGGCCAAAAGGTAGTTTAACGACTAAAAGGGTGCTTGAGTACAGCCTTCTCCAAACCGAGCTTGCCTGCGGCTGAATCACTGATGGCTTCCAGTCTATTCGACCATCCTTCAACCACTTTCAGATTTGGTATACGAAAGGCCCCGCCGTAGTTGTTGGCAGCCCAGGCAACGGCTTTAGCCAGGGTTTGCTCCGCATGCTCGGATGAGGGTATATGACCTATGGGTGGAGGCAGATTCATATCCCAGCCACGGATAGGCACACCATATCCAAGAAGCTTTTCGGCCGCTTATCGGCAAATTCGAGACGACCATCTCATCATACTCATGATCGTCACGACGGAGTTCAACACACTTCGTAGTCGTGAATTCCGTACCCTTGCAGTCCAAGTAATCCATCTTTTCAACCTCCGGGTGGTCATCAATAATCTGCCTGATCTCGGGAAGTAACTTATAATAATCTTCGTCAAGGCTTCGATGTGCCCCCAAATCCAGCAGTATCTGGTAATAAGAAGGATCCGTTATAGCGATAATAAGATTGACGCCTGCAGCTTTTGCGATTTGTATGGCTGCGCATCCCAGCGCACTATCGGCTCCCCAGATGACAATGCCACGTTTAATGTCCCCTTAACATCCGGTGATCTCGAGAACATGAAATCCCAAAATATCGATCAAGGCATCAACTGCAGTTCTTAACGCGACTAACATTCCCGCCGCAGCGTCCTTTGGAAGTGTGGACGGGCGCTTGGCGAGCAGTGAGTTGCCCTCAGCAATCAGCCAATCTTGATGCTCTCCGAATCGCGATCCCAAGTCCAGTCTCCTTAAGCCAAAGACCTCATCGCCAACTGCATAAGGAAATCCAGGTCCAGCCTTGGCAACCGTTCCACTGAACTCGTAGCCGGTAACCCGGTCGTTCAACCCCAATTGCTGTCCATACTTTACATCGGCAGGGCTGACGCCAGAATAGGCCACTTGGATCAAACCTTGGTTCTCACCAGGCTCATAGGGGTCGCCATTTTCGCAAGGAGCCAGTCCGTTTTGTGATGTAAGGAGAACTCCCATGTTGTTGTGTGGACGTTGCATTGTCAAGACATTCGTGATAGGTCGGCGTGGCAAAAAAATATGGAGCTGGTGTCGAATTTTGACGGGAAAAATTCGGATATATAAGATTTTGGAGTGAGAGATAGCGCTTACCGTGGGCACTGAATTGGACTGAAGATAGCAATGTGGCTGCCTGTAAAACGTACACGTCAGCCCCCGTCGGCAATGAGTCGCCAGCTGCGAGAGGGCGGTGATCTACACAGAGCGTAACCCCTTAAAGGCAATCGTGTGGAGCACAGTTGCACCTTTCAGCTTGTATGGTTTTTGCAAAGGTGATCTACACAACGAGTAGCCTATTCAAGGAAATTGTGTGGAGAACCGGAGCACTATTCAGCTTGTATGGTTATCTCAAAGAGTGCATTTTCAATGAATGTGCTAGGTTCTGTTCCAGAATAGGCATCGCTTAGCCAACTTCATAGAGCAAGAGAGTTGGGCAATTCCCGCCATGGCCGTGGCTGGTCTTGGGAACATGGGAATCGTTCGTCCTCGGTGACAACGGCGGCGGATGGTACCGCGAAGGGAATCTACTCCAGGTCGTAGATGAAGTAGAGACCCAAATAGTGGTTTGTGATCCATGGATTTGGTAGGATGCAGCGGTACAATGCTGACTTGCATGTTTTTTTTCGCTATGGTAGCACTTTTCGGTCACATTCATGCTGGCTTCGTCCGAAGGGTAGATAGCTCCATGCTGCATGCTATCAGTGAGCCTCTTTTCTGAAGAAGGTCATAAGTAAACACATCTCAGCTCTAGAACTTATATTCCATGACCTCTCCGTGTCCCTTCCATCTCTTTTAAGGTCCTGCTGACCAGGAAGCGCGAAATTATCCTCCATTCCTGATCATCCTTGAGGAGGGGGCGCAAGATTTCATGCCGAGATATGAGGACCAATGGCAAGGCTTCCTCCTGCTCCAACCATGATTGACCACCTCAGAGTGTGTCGGCAGCCATCATTCCGAACAATGAAGGGAATATTGATATTTCATTACCTCTCCCTTGATTCCACCGAAAGACATCCATTGCCGTGGCTAAAGATGTATAGCGGATGGAGATTGTTAGGGCATGATTAAATATCCAGAAGGTACCGCCGTCGTGAGATTCCTGGTCCGTTCTGGGTGGAAATTGGAACATCCTTGGTTGAGAGCCTACCCGAAGAATTGTGAAAGAGATAGACCTGTAAATACTATGAAACACCTTGAACAAACTACCTGCTGGATCTGGGATGTTCGAACCAGCTCAGCTCAGCCCTCTTTGAAGTTGTTCTTGGCCACCGGCAGGTCCGTAAATGGCGCAGGTAGTGTTAACACTTTTGCGAATTCCATCTTTGGTCAAGTCCTGGGTTGAAGTGAATGAAGTCTGCTATGGGAAGGTTCTTTTGTGTATTAAAAGGTTAATGTTATCAGTTCATGTGTCAATGATCATCCCGGGAAGGTCGAGTTAGCGTTGTGTCTAGGACTAGGCTTGGCGCGGGGCCGAAGGTCATCGGAAGTTAAAGCTCTGCGCGTCAGCTCGGGGCCAAGTGGAAGGTAAGTATCGCCCCAAAAAGTTCAATACCATACGAAATGTGCAAACTACGCAGTCTCAAGGTCGCACCTAGGATATCTTGTTTTAATTGTCCACTGTCCCACAAAACAAGACATCTACAGCCTGTTGTTTTCAAATGTGTAGTTATCCAGAGCTAGACGCCACCAGTAATAGTTGCCGAGGTACCGGTGCGAACACCGAGATGCTGACATCCATTGCGATGGGGACCAAATGCTTCCTCGCCATTCACTCTCCAAGGACTAGCTCTCTCACGAGAGCGCTACGGCCCCGTCGGAAGCTGTCAGAACTGATCCTTGTTGTGAGACGTCTCAGTTATGGGAGCTGACTCGAAGATAATGAAGAGAGCTGACAAAGGCGCCAAACAGTGGGTCATCCTAGACGGTTGTTGTGATCCAATTGGACCCGGAGTGATTCCGAGGGTCTCGGGAATGTGAGGGGTGCTCCCCCACAATGTACCTCACAGAATTTCCCTCTGCGGGGGAGATTTGTTCTAATGCAAGGAAGTCATCGAGGAAAGAATCATATATTTATATTCATGCACTTACGCTGGATTTGGACCGAGCCAGTATTTTCACAACACATCCACCACACGAAGGAGAAATGTCATCTGAATCTGTCAACAAAGACGCCAAAGCTGGAGGCATCAGTCCAAATGGCGAAACAATCCCTGTTATCATCGCAGGAGCAGGTCCCGTCGGTTTACTGCTCGCTCTCCTCCTTGCTCGGAAAGGCATAGCTTCCAAGGTGTTCGAAAGGGGCTCAGAGGTAGATACCTCTCCTCGAGCGGCAGTCTACTATCCGCTTGTTCTCTAAGTTTTCAAGGACGCAGGAATTTATGATATTGTTCGCGAACGTGGGTTTCAATCGGGTGGCCATGTCTGGCGTAAACCTATCGTTGACGACGGCAAGGGCGGAAAAGCCTTGGGACCAGCGATAGCGGAACTGAAGTTGGGTGAACCAGGACCGGACGGATCGTATAAGGACGGCGAATGCTGTATCATCTTCACGCAGGGTCGCTTAGTTCAAGTGCTGCTAGAGGAAGCAGCAAAAACAGGCCTTGTCGAGATTCTTTTTAGCACGCCTATTACAGGAATCGAGCAAGATGAAAGTGGTGTCACTGTTCAGGTTGAGGCCTCCGGACAGCCTCAATCATTCAGGTCCCGGTATTTGATAGGCTGCGACGGTGCCTGATCGACTGTCCGCAAGTCGCTTGAAATCAAATTCAGTGGACATTCATGGCCTGAGAGGCTCATTGCGGTAGATGTGCTGCGCACGCTACCCAAGCTCGAAGAAACTCCGGCTTATTTCGCAGTCGACAAGGTTCACTGGGGGGTGATCATACCACTTGAACCGATTTTTCCGGGAAAACCTGGGCTGTGGCGCTATGGAATGGCTATTCCTGATGAAAAAATGACCGCCGAAGAGGCGCAGGACCCTAAATATGTGGAAGAACTCCTCCTCCGTTACATTGATGGTCCACGGCCTGTTGAGCATACTGTGGTTCGCAGCCGTTTGTATCGACTACACCAGCTCTTGGCAAGTACCATGCATCGAGGCAGAGTCCTTCTCGCTGGCGATGCAGCGCATGTCAACAGCCCTGTTGGTGGCCTTGGATTGTGTACAGGCTTACTGGATGTTGACATTCTCTCTCAAGCACTTGATTTGATCCTCAATCATGACTATCACGATCCGCAAGATCTGCTGGCCGAATACTCTGCAGCTCGACGATTTGTCTTTCAAAATTTCATAAACCCCACCAGCACCGCCAATAAGCTTCGCCTCCACGAAAGTGATCCGGACAACGCCGCCCAGGAGGATTGGTTCTTGCGGATGGTACGGAAAGGTGATCGACAGGAGATAGCCAATGCGCTCGCACCACTCCAGCGGGTTTGGAGGACCGAGCTTCGTTCAATCACCAAGGAGCCAACTGCTCCTGACCGCAACCTGTCGGCCAATTTGTGGGGCATCTTGAATATTGTAACCAAGTTTAACCCGCTCTCTTGTGGTCCACATAGAGGCACGAAAATTGGAGTGTGGTTGAAATACCCAAGGTACATTATTGGGATATGGTCGTTTATTACTATTCAGATGCTGTGGCAGCGATGGGTTATCGGAGCACAGAAGAAGATAGGGAACAGGCTGAGACCCGCAATCGGCAGTCGGGTGAGGTTCGAATAGATGAGAACAGGTTCTGATAGCTTTTCGGGGGGAAGTTGGTTAATTCTCTAAGCTACTAGTAGATATCGCATATATACTTAATTAAAACTTAATCACGTGACCTCTACTACACCACAAGACAAACATTACTGGGCAGGTGTAGCTAGAGACAAATTCCACTATACAAATTCGCGTTTTGAATTACACTCAAAAGAATTTCAACTGCACAATTCGGCATACATAGTCCAAAATCACGAAGATGTTAAGCTGACGGGCATTCTATTTGTACAATGGGAAGAAATCGTAGTCGGCCCTTCATATCCCCCACTTACCGAGCCTTCGTAAGATATCTCGCAGCTAATGCAAGTATGAGCAATCCTATGATGCAGACATGTCGGACCGAGATATCATCCTTCAATGGTCAGTAGCATTTGGCTATGCTGGGCGTATTCCGGAGCTGATGCAGGAATACGTGGCACCTTATGGATAAAGCTCCCAATTTCTTAAACTGCATTTCGCCTCATGTTAATGATTACACGCTTTGCTTGTATCTCTCTAGAACTCAAGCTGTTTTAATCTACTTGATCATAATGAGAGACGAATAACAAGCCCTCGAGCTATGACACAACAGTCAAGTTCTTCTTATATACCAATTATTGAGTAGTAAACTTGTACAGAAGTGCAGAGATTGGCAGTAGTAGCTATAACAATAGCAGCAGTAGCATCACGTAGCTATCTTAAGCATGTTGAGCATAGTAGATGGCGGTTAAGGTAGGCGCAGAGCGAAAGTGTGCAAGCGTAAGCCATAAGTACGAAAAAGTTTCAAGTCGGAGCTTATTTCAAAACATAACCTGCTGGCGATAAGTAGGAAGCACATAATGCGCACCTTATCTATGACCTGCAGCTAAAGCTGCGATAAGGCTGGTAAGTCAAGAATAGCTCATGGATTTGTTCTATCGGTGATTTTGACATACTGACACAGCGGAGTCCACAACGCAGTCGCATAAATTGTCTTGGCCGATAAGTACGACGCGTGGCGCGGATTTTGTCCGCCGGGCGCAAGGATGGGTGGCTCTCGGGACCGTCCCCCCTCATGACCCGAGATTTAGTAGCAATACCAAAATCCTGTGCATGCCACATGAGAGCGAATTTTGCTCTGTAATTGGTTGGGGAGTTGGACTAGATTCCGCCTGGGGTAAGCATGTCGGAGCCCCCACCCCCGCATTGACTCAATACTTTCCCGGATATGGTGCATTGCGGGCGGAGGGCCTCGGATGAAGTACCTCAAATGAGATATAGAAGACAAACGTGAATCGCTGACTGACTCTCGAGCTTCTTGCAATACATCCAACACACCATGAATGCAACCGAGCCCAAGATGCGGCAGTTCTTCGAACTTGGCCGACTTCTAACATTGTATAATGTTTTCATCGTTGTCCCAATTGTCTATGTGGTCGTCTGGTTGACCTATACCCTATTACTTACGCGCCAGCGCAAAATTCCAGGCCCGTTTCTCGCCAAGATAACAGGGCTATGGGAAGTGAAGAAGGTATTTGATGGGGATATCCACAAGACAATGATTAAGCTGCACGAGCGATACGGTGAGGCTTGCGCCCCAGGAAAATGAACCATCATTCCAAGCAATCAGGCAAGCTGATGGCATGATTCCAAATGTGCTAGGCCCCATCGTCCGCATTGCGCCAAATCGCTATGATTTCAACACTCTAGACGCCGTCAAAACCATCTACAGAATTGGCGATCAACTCCCAAAGTCAAATTACTATACTCCGTTTGGATCGCCCCATGGCAAGAACCTGCTCAATACGCTCGACAACACGCAACATGGCTCCATGAAGAAGAAGTTCGCATCGCTGTATTCAATGTCGACCCTGTTGTCTTACGAACCTGCCGTCGATAGCCAGACATTTGTCCTGCGGAAAAAGCTCGACGAATTCGCCGCATCTGGGGAATTGGTGGATATTCCCACATTCTTCCAATACTATGCTTTTGACGTGATTGGAATGCTTACTGTAAGTCGAAGCCTCTTGTACACGCTCTAGGGTATGTTATTGACGCGAGCCGGTATGGCTGTTTAGTTTGGAAGTTCCATGAACCTGATGAAGACCAATGCAGACGCTCACGGTGCTTGTGCGGCGCTTGACTTAGCGTGGCGTTTCGCATCTGTGATGGGTCTCTTGCCGGGATTATTCTCATCCCTAGAGACGTTGGTGAAGGTGTTCAGATTGCCGATTACTCTAGATGGGCTGGAAAGTGTGGTTACAGAGCATGTGAACCGGCACATGGACAAAGCTGCGCAAGCCGATGGATCCAAGAAGGACGCAACATTTCTGTCCAAGGTGCTTACATTGCGCAATGAAGGCAAAGTCGCCGACAAAGAGGTCCGAGTTTGCATGGAGATGAACATCAGCGCAGGCTCAGACACAACCGGCATCAGTTTGAGCGCCATCATGTACTACTTATATACTAACCCTAGCGTCCTGGAGCGACTTCGACACGAGCTTGACACTCGATCAAAAGCGGGGCGACTGTCAGACATGGCGACTTACCAGGAAACTCAGCAGATACCATATCTGCAAGCTGTGATTAAGGAGGTTCTGCGACTTCATTCCGCTGTCGGCACGCAGCTGACACGCGTAGTCCCCAAAGGCGGCTGTGTGATTGAAGGACATTATTTTCCTGAGGGTGTAAGTAATGCCATGATTCTTAAATCCCTATCCTTTGATACATTTTCAAGTTATGGTCACGAGTGTCTGCTGAATCTGCCCTTCATTTGTTTAGGCCGAAGTTGGTGTCAATTCGTGGGCACTTCATTATAACAGCGATATTTTTAGCGACGTCCATGCCTTCAGACCAGAGCGTTGGCTAGAAGGTGATACGGCGAACATTCGGTTGCCTGAATCTTTTGCAGTAAGTCCTCGCCTTCGCAGTGCACGATCAGAATTTAGGGTCTCTCGGTACTAATTCGCGCAATAGTTCGGCCAGGGTGCTCGGTCCTGTGTCGGGAAAAACATTAGCATCCTAGAGATGTCCAAAGTCATTCCACAAGTTGTTCAGAACTTTGATATCGATTTTTCCACCAGCACTGAAGCTTGGTCACACGAGTGTCGTTGGTTCGTAAAGCCAAAATATAATGCTCGGTTAAGGCGCCGAGCAACCCCAAAGGAGTGATGTTTAGTATGGAGAAAATAGAACGAACAAGGCGACTTGATTCCCCGGAATGTAGACTCGGAAGAAAAAAAACATACTTCCTGCTATTCCTAGCCTGGGCAAACACGGCCATGAGCACGTGGCGCTTGTGGAATACGCATGGGATATTCCGCAAGCTATGACTGCGGAGTACGAAATGATGGAATTTGAAATCTCAAGTGACTCGAAATAGACACACTAAGTCCCAAATGGATATAGCGCCATGCAACCAAACCGTCTACTGCGTAATACACGGGGCGCCTTTTGCCTTTTCTCTTGCAATACTCCAAGTGTCATGATTACTGCTTCAAACATCAATCAACAAGTCGCATTTATACACAAGTCTACGCCCGCTGAGTTTGCCGACGTTGTACCACTTCTGCAGCCTGCCCGAGCTGCCCAATGAGACGGATCAGGTTATCGACTAAGCTCGGGCAATCCTGATAGCCATGGGTGCACTTTTCATACAACACATCTCTGAAGACTAGCATGACCTCAGGCTGGTGTATGACTTCGATAGCCGAATACTGAACACCATTCGTGCCTTCAACAACACGCGTGATGCAAGGCTTTCCGAACCCTAGCACACAAAACTGTTGCACCAGTGGGGTGTGATCGCCGTCTAACACTATTTCCGTCTCCCTAGACGACGGCTCAAGGCCTCTGTTTTGCCACTGTGAATCGAGATCTATCGAGTTATTCGACAAATGAGCTGTTGGTATGATTGAGTATGACCATAAAATCAGACTGGCGTGATAGATTGCAATAACTGTGGATATGCGTAAGGTGGGATCACCAGTCCGACGCGCTTCCCGCAAAATCTGACCGGCATGCCACATGGCTTGTCGACAGGATCGACTTTGAGCCCATTCTTTGAGTCGTGGAAGGACGCGACGTGCTTCACGTTCACCATCCTTACCGCCGAGCAATTGCAAATCCTCGAGAGAAACATCAAGATACATGAGCTGTCGCTCGTGAAGAACGGAAAGCGAAGGGTCCATCGGACCAAGCCACCGTGTGTGAATCGCGGCAAAGGACTCTAGGGATTCTCGAGCTTCCTGATAGAGTGCCTGAGTGCTCAATGCACGCTTAGTTTGCGTTGCACCTGGCGTTACATCACGTGCCTTTAGGTACTCCTTGTACTGCCACGTGTTCAACCATAAGCCACAAAGAACCGCCAGAGTTGTGTACTTGGTGTCCACCGAGTTCCCGAGGGCGGACAGACTGTTTGGGTCTTCAATGCACGTATGCAGTGTCAGCAGCGCTGGAGGACCAAGGCTGAGATAGGCTGCCCGCCATGCCTCAGCTGAGGGCGCGTTCCAAAGCGCTCGTGCTGCTGGCAGGCTAGTGTGTATTTCAGTGTGCGTCAAGGGGGGATATGTCAGGAAGGCCATTGAGTACTGGGTGCTGAGTATGAGCAGATGTAACGCAAGTCTATGGCGAATGTTAAAATTCATTTACGATTGGAACCACGTTCGAACTACCCAAACGGGGCGGGTAGGGTGAGTTTTTCTTACCTTTTCCTAGATTCATAGTCAATCCATGCATGCCACTTCTCCTTCAAAACCAGGTCACTGTCGCTCGGGTGGGGTGAAACGCCTTCAGGGTCCAGAACTCGTAAAGAGCCTCCCCTTCTCATCATCTACAAGACTCTGTTATCAATTTCCTTCCTTGATTGTACGTAACAGCTTACGTTGATCGGCATGTTGAATAGAGCCTCACAAATTTCGATTCGCCGGCTATTTCCACTCCACAGGCCGCCTTGAATCATGAGGACGAAGCATTGGATCGGCTCAAGCAATCGAACATTACGGCCATCGTTGTAAAACTAACGTGAAGAATAATTAGTACATATCAATGACATGCCGTATGGAGTTCGTTTAGACATCAACATACCAACCGGGAAATTAGGTGTTGATGAAGTTCGTGCAAAGCAAGAGCAAATTTTAGAAAAATGGCACGATCCGTACGGAACGCACCGGCAATAACAAGGCCAAGGACCAGTTCTGTGCAGGCAGTGTTTGGGTCAAAGCTAGGAATGTGGAGCCAAGAATCTGCTTCTTGGCTGTGCTCTGCAAGCTCCCTAGATAGCAGATATTCCAATACTTCGAGAGAAGGAAAAGATGAAAGGATACGTTGGTGGTTCGCAGAGCCTGCGATAGACAATATCGAGCTAAGAATGCGATAACGTGTAGATGGCTCGAGGCGCACAAGTGCATGCTGCTGAGGATTGGAAGAAACGCAAGCAGACAACTCTCCGTCTAGAGTGGGAGAGAGATCTGCAGTTTTAGCTAACCAAGTTTCGCCTTCCGTTGGCGTCCAGAGCAGGAACGATTGCTTGTAGGCATTCTCGCTCAGAGAAAGACCTTCATTAGTCTCTGACACGTTGTCCGTATTTGATGGCGCCTCAAATATAGCCTCAGTTTCTAAGGTGCCAAAATTAAAGACATCTAGATTGAATGCATCCCACGAGTATCCTAACCCGTCGTCAGGATTGAAGTGATCCGAAAAGTCTGTACAGCTGACTTCGGCTAGGAAACTAGTAGAAATACTATTTTGAAGTTCAAAAGGGCTTGGTTCGCACATGATGTTTTCATTTTCGATTGTAGGACCTGTACTGCTGGTTAGCATGTCTTGCGGTCGGCACAAGCCAACACAGGTTGATGGCAAAATTACGGTGGTGTGGAAAAGAAAGCAAGTCGATCAAATCAAGTATTAAACCGGTAATGAGATCAGATAGAGACGCTGGCTTGCCTTTGTAAACAGATGTTGGGGTGATGGGCCGATTTGCTGGGCTCTCTTGTAATTGTCCAGACATATGCATAGGTCCTGCTTGCTGTTTTGCGTGGTCCATATTCTCGACTAGATCCAGGAGAGTGTAATTATCTTCTATATAATCTTGGGGCGTTATGCACGTTGACTGGGATTCATGATTTGTTGAGCCTGAAAACACCACTATGTCAGAGGTTGCTGTAGTGGGATGTACCGGGTTTGTCGAAGAAAGCAACTTCTTATGCGTGCTCGAATCCAAGCGGGATTGCTGAGGGAAACGGCAGTGTAATCCTCGCTCCTGGCATCGCCTACAAGGGTTTTCTCCTTCACAGCGCAGTTTCGATTGAGCGCACAAAAAACAGGCTTTTGCTGCCCGCGGTCGGTGCTTTCGTACAACCGCGTCATCTGTAGGTGAAGCGGCAGATTTATGGACGACCATGTGTCGTTTAAGAGTGTCACTACGTCATCTTGTTAGTCGATGAAGTAACCTAGATGTCAAACACAGGGGTTTTGAGTCCAAGTAGAAAAGGGGCAACTCACGTTCTTGAAAACGACTTGGAGCATTGCGGGCAGTTGATGTACTTTTGCTCAGTATCTGGAGTTTAGATGCGTAGTTAGTGCACGTACAACAGCCAGCAAGGCACACCAGAATAAACGGAGCGGTTTCGTACGTCTACGGAAGTGACGAGCTAGGTGGTCAATTCTGGAATAGCGATTCTTGCATATATCGCAGACAAAGGGATGCGATGCAGCCGTTTTGGGCACTTGTTGCTGCGCAGCACCAGCCGCATGTTCGTTTGGTGGCGGATGAGGTACGTCAACGATGTCACGGGAGGGTGTCGGGCTGGTTGTAGTGGTTCTCATGCTGGCTGCGGGCCTTCGGTATGTCGTGCAAAAGAAAGTATGCCACCTCAAAGGCCTGTCTCTCGTAGGTGGAACTCGAAGGCCGAAATGTCGGAGAGGCCGGCGCGTTGGATGCGGGGTGAGTCGGGGCTGCATCAAGAATTCGGATTAGCGCCGGATCTGGGCACGCCCGCCCCATGTCTGACGAACCGGGCCGATGGTTTCAGTGGCTGGATGAGACCCGGCTGCTCAGAGCGGCTAGCAAGTGCTCACAAGCAATAACGAAGTTCCATGTCGAGAAAATAAATAGCATTTCCCAAGCCTTGCTCAAACCTCCAACGAAGCTCCCTCCTCAGAACAGGGGGGGCCAAGAGCCGCTTTTGCAAGACGATTGCTCTGTAAGTACTGGAGGATTGATCAAACTCTGAGTGGTCGACCCAGCAACGTGCTGACTCTGACTGTTCAATATTCCGTGGCCAACAAGGAAACGCCTGACTGGAGCTTTTGATTAGCATTCCTACCTTTCATTTGTCTGTTACAGAATCTCTCATACTTAAGTATTGGTCTTCGGAAAGCCCAAAGTCACGAAAGCGGGTAGCTCAGAAGCCATCGAAAGCCACATCAAAAGCATGTGCATTAAGACCACATGAGCAATGCGATAAGGCTATGCTACACGTGCCGGCGCCCCCGTCGGGCTAACTTTGTTCTCGGAACAGAATTGCTCTTCCTGGCGGCATCCCTGTCGGTAGACGTCTGCTGCATGCATATTTGTCCTGGACTGTAATTCCATAGTCTCGACGAACCTTTCTTCCTGAAATAAAACTGCTACTTTGTTTCGACGGAATATATATGTTGCTGGATTTGATTACCGACCACGCTCATAGAGTTTAGCTAAAGACGCAGACCATTGTAGTAGATACACAAACCAACTGGAATCTCCAACGGTCCTGAATCAGCACGTGGGTGGAATACCCCGCGATTGTAACAGCAAGGCACGACGGTTTTTTTCTTGATTTTATTAGTCGGCAATTGGGTTGCTGGCGACTTGTCCTGGGTTCCTAGTCCTTCGTTTTATGATGCTGTGTTTCGTACGCGAAAAGAAAACTGTACTTATGGCAATTTGATTGAATAAAAACGCGGACATATTTAACGGGCTCTTATCTTCCACCAGGTCCACAAATGGGTTAACCAGAATAAAGTATGCCAATCCATTGCTCGGCACGTGACGAGCGGGGCCTTGGCATTTTCGGACGCCAAGCGTACCGAACAGCCTTGTCTTCGGCCAAATTGGTCTTTCTGGTCTTTCGATTCACTGCGCAATAGCCGGGCTTACGTGCGCACCGATAAGAGAATTCTCACAGCATTTCACGTCAGCCTTGATAAGTCTCCCAAGAAATGTGTTTGAGGGAGGGGCGGGCGTTTTGCTTCAAAGAGTGTTGTGTTTGCCGTTTCTTGGGGGCGGAGGGGACGTCTGTGGCGAGGTGAGTCCCCGCGTATGACAGCACTGGAGCGAGTCTTTGAGGGACGAGAGGCAGAATTTCTGGCGCCGAGGTTGGTATGTACCGCCTTGAAATACCTTGGCATGGATGCGATTTCGCTTGCCTTGGAGAGCCCTGCGAGGGGGGTGAAGTAAGGCGGGCGAGGAGAGATGGTTTGCCTGTCGCCTTTCCGGATTACAGGACGGCGTCCTTGTGTAGGACTTTGGAAAGGTCACCTGTAATGCAAGTGCGCTTTTATTAGAGCCGAGGCTGTGGCTGTGCTATGAGAGAGTAGGTGATTTTAGTTAAGTTGGTGATAGTTGCGACAAAATTAGGCGTACTGCCATGCCCTTTATTGACGAAGACGCAATGATGATGCAGTGCGGCACTATAATTCCTGCACATGTTACGCTGGAGTACAGTGTGAAAAGCCAGCTCTCTATTTTCCAACATACAAGCAGTAGTTAAATGTCGTGAATAATGACAGTAATTTACACATGTTGCTTCGTGTGCCAGGTGCGCCTGACACGGCTTCTCGCAAGGCAGGTGTGAGAGATTCATTTATGAAGCTGATGCTTACTTCTATTGTCATCAGCTAACCATTACTTTCTTTTGCCTAGCGGTGCACTTCAAAATCATCTCAAAAGGCCCACCAGTGCTGAAATACTACTATGACACTGTGGCCTCGTGAATGCTGTTCACAGGGCTTGACTGGTGTCGGCGGAATGGTTACAATGAGGCGATGGCACTTGACTACCACGAGACTGACGGTGCTTTCTTAGTTGCTGAACTGGATCGTGGTAGAAAGGAAAGGACACTTCTTCATGCGTGCTACCTTCTGTCCTGAGTCATTAAGAGTAGGAAGAAGGGAGGAAACAAGGCGGGCTGTTTCTGTCGATTCGCTTCTGCTTCATATTCTTGTTGAAAGAAGGATATATAGTATGGCTCTTGCCATGGAGTTGTCTGGATATTCCACCCATACTCACAGCTACTCAAATATCGTTTTCTTAGCATCAAAGATACCACTCGGAACGGTTTCCCAGGATAAATATCCATCTTTCGTTGGTAGCGGTTACGAACTGCACTGCTTTAGAGGAATACCGCCAAGTGAAGAAGCAACATATTTTCTAGAGTGACCTCACTGTATGAAATCAAAGGATTACAATATTAAGATCAGACAACTAACCTTCCCAGAGCATATCAGCCAAAGACCCAGTGAAACTGAGCAACGCAAGAATCGTGCAATCCACAGACCTTTTCCCCCGAGAAGCTTCAACCAGACAGTAACCCCAACTTTCACACCTACCGATATATCTCAAACCATCCCGAGTTTAGGAGCCAATGGCATGCCAATCTAAGCTCCGTTATCAGTGCGTCCCTGTTAGGACTTCCTCTCCTTCTCAGCACACCACTCCAGCATCTCGTAATCGTCCCAGGCTATTCCATCGAATGACCGTGTTTCCTCGGCACAACGCCCTCGTCTGCATGTCCTCGGGTACGGTAGATGATATGTGGCACTGTTATGAGTGCGGGGCTGATAACAACAACTGGGTTGAGCGCTGTCCGATTTGTGGCGAGGGTTGGAGACCTAATTAGCAGGACTGATTCGAGGGCTTTGCTGACGATGGTATTGGGAGTTTTCTTGCTGTATGAATTGAGGTTAGAACGTGTTCATTTGGGAGATTTCTATCTTTCCTTTCTTCTTTCATTATTTTGCGTGTTGAAGTTGTACGAGTTGGATTATGGCGCCTTTTGATTTTTGTAGATTGATTAGATGTTTTTAGAGTTTTTTTCCATGGAGCCTTCGATTCCTTCTTTCCTCTAACTATCCTGGTGCGTATGTTTTTCATTATTCTTCATGTAGTGCTCACCTCATCTTTATTGGCACTCTGTGATATATCTGTTCGTAATCAAGTGCTGTATCCTAAATCGGAGGTTAGCATAGTTATATCAATGATGTTCTAGGCCTCAAATTCTGAGTAGAGGTCAGGAAGATACAGAAAACTACATCTAGCGGTTTTTTTCAACCAGTTTAACCATTCAGTGACATCAATTAAATCGGTGCCCAGGATACTAGTATCTCTCCATTGAGAGAGAAATGAAAATGAGGCCTGGTCAAAGTCAGATCCGACAATTATCGGTATCATACTTATTGAACCGTAGAATGCTTCTAAGTTTCATACTAATGTACAATATTTTCAGGACTTCTGTCATCCCTGGTCAACTTGCACCTCCCTCGTTACACGAATGTTGTCCCGTGCACACAAGACATCAATTTGACTGGTGTCTTCCAACTTCCATGCCCCTCTCACAGCTGTTGCATTTCCATAGGACGGCAGTACGATGCTATTGGAGACATCATATTTTGCTGTCCTCGCTGCGCTTGCTGCACTGCCTATAGTTTCAAAAACCTTGATGAATATTCGCTTCAGAGCCGGCAGTGAAGCTGCAACAATACCAAGATGCAGCTCAACGAGATTCCAGATCGAGTAAGCATCGTATTCATCAAGTGGGCCCGCGCTGACTTGTCTGATGATACCAGCTATTGCTGCAAGAATGCCTATGGAAAGGACTGCTATCAGGGAGAGACGAACACGTCTCACCATGTGGAGTCTCCAAATAAGAAGTGTTGGCAGAAGTGCAAGGAGAACATCCGTAAGGATGTGGATCACTGTGTCATCAGCAACGAGGTTGGGAGGGGTGTGCTTCATGATACGCATACCTCCATTGAAGAGCCCAATATGTTTGAAAGTATTGAGGCTATAGCACTTTGAATGGCCTACTTCCATTGGAGGTAAACGCAACGAATAGTCCCATGCAGCGGAGATGGAATCACACTGGAGGACCTAGAACAGTGGTGTCAATGAGCGGTTATTGAATGAGCCATACAGATACTGGGAAAGGCATGCTGTAAGATGGAAAGCTCACTCACTATCGTCAGCACACTGGCAATCGTGAAGGCAGACATAAAAGCAACCATGCCCCAGAGAAACCACACGTACAGTTTCTTCGTGACTAGACGCAGAAGAAACATGCAGATTGATATCTTCACAAGGCCTATTGCCAGCACCACGAATACCTGGTGCAGGAGGCGAGCCAAAAGTAGTCTACGGTAGCTTGTTACGTTCTCTTCCAGCACTTCTAGACGATTTCCCAAACCGAAGGATATCTGTACCATATAGCACACAAAACATGCCGTTGCTGCTACCTGTGTACAGTCTTTCAATTACTTACTTTCCAATGATTACTCATACATAAAGCCTACCAGCGCAACGATAATGGCCCAATCATCTTTCCCGAATGACTTGACGATTTGGAGCGGACCCAACCGCGACACAAAACGACTAATGATGCTATCACGTACTGTGTTATTGAATATGCGAGTAAGCGCTCTGCGGACATCTTCATAGGAGTAATTTCTACACATGAATGTCTAGAATCGTGGTACATGCTGCAAGATCTACATATTGTCCCTGGCATAAATTTATAAGCCTTTACCGCGCAGTAAAAGCAATAGAATGAATGTTTAAAAAGACGGCACAAAGTTGATTCGTTCAGCGTGCATTAACTGCGTAGCCACGCAACTCATCGATGAAGCTAATTCTGAGACAGCATATCTCCATTTTGGGCCAAGCCACATTACAAGTTGCTATGAAGGCAGAGGATTCCGATTTGTTTCTCCGTATGGCTCGTGTTCCGATACTGGCCACATCACCGCGCAAACCATGCCGATTTTACGCAATAGCATCTGTCAAATGTCATCTCCAGTCTAGGCGCTTCACTCTGGTCGAGTCTGGACGTATGCAACCGCAAACCACTCTGTTGGTATCCTCGGTTGCACAGAACCTTGGATGTATGTCGATGGATCTAGATCTCACTATGCAAGGGCTATGGTGATCCGTATTCGAGTGGGTAATATTCAACCGTAGTAGGTGCATTCCGGCTAAAGTTCTCTGCGGCGCAGAGCAAAGTGGAGTAGTACTGACTCAATGTACGACTCGAACTCGTTACCACAAAGACAAGCAGCATGCACGCACGCGGGTATTGTGCCGCCCCTCGCGAGCCGTCCCGGTAATATTTAGCAGCCTATCAAAGCTCGTTAGGCGGCTATGTCAGACGACTCCATCCTTCGCCAGCCATCTGCGTAGGGTCGACAAATCAACCAGTTCCAAGATTGATTAGCCAATCAATCTTATATGTGCCAATGTGGCACAGTCTTCCCAACAATCCATTATTGTACCAAAACTTTGGAGTGTGTGACACCTTAGCAGGTAGTGAATTGAGGGTTTCTCACTTCTGTCCCAAACAATACAAACATGATAGACAACGTCTACCGTGCCTTACCGGTATTACTCGAGTTCCCACGCCATGTTCACCTCTCTCAACAGCTCTGTCTCTGCCCCCTCTCATTCCTACTCGGCAAACAATACTACCCCTGGTTCATCGTTCATCAGGCCATTCAAGTGCGGCTGAGATATTTCAATGGCACTGACTCTACTTACCATAAAAGGGAGTTCGTGCCCTATCTCTGCAGCTTGGTGGTAAACTAGAAGCGACTGGATATATTTCATGCTGCTCGCTACAGTCCAATTCCGCATCATATAAAGCTCAATAATGTGGTATCTAGCCAACATGCTCGCGCTCTTTTCCAACACTTGCAGTAGCAGGAGCAAGGCCCATCAAAACAACCCCAACAATGAAGATCTCCTTACTTCTCAGCATTGCCTCGATTGGCAGCTTCAATGCCAAATTCATGGGAAACGATGCCCTCGCCGCAGAAGGCATGCTGAAGCTCGGCATCCACCTCACTAAAAACGGTCTTCCAAGCCCAGAAACTTGCACGTTGGATACAGCGGCAGTGCGCCGGGAATGGCGAGTTTGCACCAAACCTCCACGCATCAAGTTCTAATTTCAAAACAGGGCAACACTAACCCCCAAGGAGAGAATCGCCTTCACAGATGCGGTAAACTGTCTGCATAAGCTCCCCGCAAAGACACCCGCTTCGGTTGCACCGGGCGCAAGAAGCCGTTACGACGATCTCGTCGTCACGCATATCCAGCAATCGCTCACCATCCACGGCACAGGCAACTTCCTCACATGGCACCGCTACTTCACATGGGTTTTTGAGCAGACGCTGCGAGACGGGTGTAGCTACAAAGGCACGTTTCCATACTACAACTGGGCGCACTACGCCAACGACCCCAAAAACGGTCCTTTTTCGACGGGAGCGCCTCCAGCATGTTTGGCGATGGTGAGTACGTGCCTGGGCGAAACTCGTCTTGTTTTCCCTGGGACGGGATATCCGGGCCTTGCTTTATGCACCTCGCACCTGGCTCCGGTGGAGGATGCGTGACATCTGGTCCGTTCAAAGAGTACGTTGTCAATGTCCATGTGTGCATCCCACCGCCCTGCTAACACAGCAAATAGCTTCAAAACCAACATGGGACCCCTCCAAACAATGCTCCAGCTGCCGGGCAGTGGGCTCCCGAAAAACCCCCAGGCAGACGGTCTAGGCTACAACCCGCGCTGTCTCCGTCGCGACATCTCCCTGCAAGCCGCCAACGCGACGTCCGATGCCGAAGTAGTAAACCTGATCAAAAACTACTGGGATATTGCGTCCTTCCAGGCCGAGTACCAGGGCGCCTTTGCCGAGGGCCGCATGGGCGTGCATACAGGCGGCCATTACACAATTGGCGGGGACGCAGGCTCGGATTTCTACAACAGCCCTGCGGACCCGGCGTTCTACCCACACCACGCCATGATTGATCGCGTATGGTGGATCTGGCAGAACCTCGACCTGGAGAAGCGGGAGACAGCGCTCGCGGGGTCGGTTGGGCCCATTGGTGATCCGAATGCGAAGAATACGACGTTGAGTGATAAGCTGGTCACGGGGCCGTATGTGGGGTATCCGGACGTGAGCATTGGAGATGCGATGAGTACGCTCGCTGGGCCTTTCTGTTACATCTATGCGTAAACGATGTTCATTGCTGGAGGAGTTTTAATTGACGATATGAAGAGTGTCCAACTCAGGGAGAATCTCTGAACTGATTTCCGCCGATCGCTACAGTGCAACTGCTAGTCTTACTTGCTGCATAGCATTGTACTCAGCATCTGATTTTCTTTCAGGTATTCCAGTGAAGACCCTGGTTAAGTCTACCATTTTGATCCTCGGAGCTCGGAGCTCTGTTTCCAATATTCATCCACTTTGACTACACCCAGCAGTATTACGACGTCGTTGTTTGCTGTGATGACTGGGTATAGCATAAAGCTAATAAGTCTTTCTTGAATTCTTGTCGTTCATCCATCAAGGATGTAGCAACCTTGTTGGGCGTACAAAAGGGTCACTGAGCGAGCTAGTTGGATCGCCAGGGCCAATCACGCTGGTGCTACCGCTCTTTTCGCTGGATTTCTCGGCAGCTGTAGATTTCTGCTAGCTGCATCATCCGAATTCGTGGCGTGGGAGATACCTGGAATATGCTCTCGGGTTTGAGTCCCTTAGGACGAGTGATCTGGTGTTGGTTCCAACTTCGAGCGCATCAACATGAATGCAGCAGGTTGTTGCAGGAATATTCCAGATGTGCTGGGCGATTACATCCAAGCATTACCTGCACTGTGGTTCCTGAGCCTATGCTTGCAGTCACCAGTGTAACAGCGCACCATTGGCGCGGGCCAAGTCGAGGAGTGCTCAAGACTGGTCCTACGTGTCGCAACCTTATATGGTTGACCTGGCTGCATCAATAATCCTGAATGCCCGTTTCGCCAGTCAGGACCTTTTCCTTTCCCTCTCCATCCGAGTCGAAATCGCTCTCCATGCTCTCAAAGTAGGCATCCTGCAGGTCGCGCTCCTGCTCCGGATCGTCGTACTTGGGATTGCCATCGACCAGCTTCGCATAGTCAAAGTCGTCGTCTCCGCCTCGCAGGAAGCGCTGTGTCATCTCATCCATCCACCAGGCCTTGCCCTCTTCCTTGCTCATGGGTATATCGTCCTTGTCCTCTTCTATTATCTGTCCGTCCGGGCCGCGTGTATAGGTAAAAAGCGAATTGGGGTCTGGCTGCGACAGGGCATCCTTCTTTGCCTCGGCGCGCCAGAGGTCGGTCGCCATTTGGCCGGAAAAGCCCTTCTTCCGGCCTTCAGCCTCGCGCTCGGCGGCGGTCTGAAAACGGCGGATGAGGCGGTCGTAGAGCAGAGGGTCGGCGAGCTCGAGCGACGGATCGGCAAAGTACTCGGGATGGACTTCGAGGTAGCGCTTGCGCCTGTTCTTGGCCTGGAGTCGCTTGGCGCGCTCGTCTTGCTGCTGTCGCATCTGCTCGCGGAGGAGCGACTGGTCTACATGGTCGGCCATGGCAACGTCTCCGTCTGCGGCTGTAGACGTGCTGCCGTTGGCGTCGAGAGTGGCGTCGGCGTCGGCGGGGTGCTTTGCATCTTCGGGCGAGTTCGCAGGCCGCAGCGCAAGAGGCGCCATATTGGGTGAGGCATTCATATACGGCATGCTATGGCGTCGATGCTTGTTTCCTGCACGGCAATGGTCAATGGGCAGAGAGAAAGAGAGAGGACGCGGGCGCATTCAGCACCGCCATGCGCAGTCATCAGCCATGACGCCACACGCACGCGCCACAGGGTCCGGCTAGTTGAAACGCGCCCAGGCGAAACAAGACGGCCTTAATGATCGCCCGTTTCAGCCGTGCCTCAACCGCGCTGCCAGGAACAGCTGGCCTGCTTGTTTTTAATTTCAACGTCGTCCGTTTCTTCTTCCTCGTCCTCTCCTTTCTTTTGGCCCTTTTGCATCGTTAGCATTGGCGTCGTTGTTGTTCTTCGCGGGCCGAGTTCATTGCGGATACACGGTCCGTCTAAAGTGAGCAAAGAGCTTGGAATCGGGCGACAATTACGCGATATCTGGTCTTTTGAGCTGTCCATATCAATCCGTCGCCGCCGGAACTGCGCCTCTGTTTTCCTCTAGAATTGCGCGATACAAGAAGAAAAGATAGATTTGGACAACCGCCGACATGGCTGCGCAGAAAAAGACACAGAAAAAGCCCAAGGGCGCAAAGGAGGCTGGTCAACCAACACAACGGGCCCCGGCATCGTCAATCCTGCTCAACGCCGGCCGAGCAGCAGCACTCCTCCTCATTGCAGGTTTTGCGTCTCCAGTCTCTCAGCTCAATCTTTCTCCCATCTATGGATCCATTCCGGCGTCTTTACATCACCAGCGGACCATGACCATTGTCGCCGTAACATCTTTGCTAGTCCGACGAGGACTCAAGAGTTATGTATCGGCAGACGTTTCACAGTACATCGCGGTGGTCGCGTACTGGACTCCTGTTATCCAGTTTCTCCTGTTCCCGTACAGTGAAAAGATGGGCATTGAGTACGGGCCCATGGCTATCGAGCTTCTGACCTACTTTCCGCTGCTCTTCTTGTCTATGTTCGCTGCTGCCGATTTACTCGAATGCATCGACATCACTGGTCTTAATCCGTCCCCATTGAAGGAGATTGTCATTCCTACCGTCTCTTACTTTGCTGTTTCGACCACAGCCAAGGCCAGCAGCGCTCTTATCCCCAGCTTCATTGGCACATCGGTCTACTTTACTCGCATTGGCCTTCAAATGCTACTGGCATCTGCATCAGCCTTCCTCAGCCCTTCGCGCGTCATCTTGCTGGCATTCCCAGCCATCTTACACACGCTGTGGACAAACCCGCATCATCCGTCAGCACATGGGCTGCAACTGGCCAACTCGACTCTTCAGGCAACGCAAAACCACAGTCTTCTTGCTCGACACGAGTCGGTTACAGGCTACATCTCTGTCGTGGAAAGCCATGCCGAGAATGCTTTCCGTCTCCTGCGATGTGATCACTCGCTTCTCGGCGGCGAATGGCTCGTAACACCGGAAGCATACGCCAAGGGCCAACGACAGCGCGAGACCATTTTTGCTGTCTTTGTTCTCCTCGAGGCTATCCGACTCATCGAACCCCCAGTAGACACGATTGCCCGCGTGCCTGACAGCAAGAAGTCGGCTCTGAACATTGGCCTTGGTATTGGCACAGCGCCCAACGCCATGATTGCCCACGGCATCAACACGACGATTGTCGAACTCGACCCCGTCGTCCACCACTACGCCACCAAGTACTTCAACCTTAGCCCGAAGCACAACGCCGTCATCCGCGACGCCACAGCCTACGTAGCCGAGAAATCCGTGTCAGCGCCAGGAAGCTTCGACTACATCATGCACGATGTCTTCACCGGCGGGGCGGAACCGGTCTACCTCTTCACCACCGAGTTCATGCAAGGGCTATACGACTTACTCAGCGCCGACGGCGTCGTCGCCATCAACTATGCGGGCGACCTGACTCTCGGCAGCACGCGACTCGTGCTCAACACGATCCACGCCATCTTCCCCGCATGCCGCATTTTCCGGGACACACCCGCGCCCGATACGCTAAAAGAGGGCGACCCAGACTTCATCAACATGGTCATCTTCTGCGTGAAAAACGACCACGGCCGCGGAAAAGCCGCGGTGCGGTTCCGCAACCCCACGCGAGACGACTTTCTCGGCAGCATCGCCCGCCAGAACTTTTTGCGCCCACAGGACAAGCTAGAAGTCGACTATGACTATGTGAGCAAGGAGCAGGGCGGCAGGGTCATGGGAAATGCCGATGTGGCCGAGTTGGAAAAGTTCCACAAGGACGGCGCCGTCAGCCATTGGAAGATTATGAAGTCGGTGCTTCCCGGTGGCGTGTGGGAAATGTGGTAAGAAGTTTGGGAGGGTGTGAGAACTGACTAGACCTGCCTCACTAGTGCTAGGGTGCTTCACCGTTTATTTGTTTTTTCGTTTTTACTGAAGGCTGCGGCGGGTACATGTGCCTGGTGAAACAAGAAGAGTGAGACACTCTGCCGTTGTCACGTGCAGGTTGCAGCTGACATCCGGTGTGGTAGTGTGTGTGTGTGTGTGTGTGTATGTCGAGCGTGATTGTGGCTGTTTCAAGTACATACTGTAGCGTATTATTATTATTATTATTATTCCATTAGAGTCTATCTGCAGTCAGTGACTATGTAAGACTTTGGCCAGAGGCCGTTCTAGGTACAATTTGTTTAAAGTGAGAGTGTTCTCTGTATAGTACTGCTATTGTGCTGCGGTTTAGTCGCTTCTAGCTGCGCTTAAAGCGGACTCCAGTTGCTGAAGAGCAGTTTAGTAAACAGGAAGAGATGTTAGACA